AGAAACACATGTCATCAGAACAGAGATCCTTGCTCTTTGTTTCTGGATAGATTGCTGTTAATAAGAGACTCATTTTCACTTTCAAACTGCTAAGTAATTACTTTTTCTCTGGCACAACCACTTGCCACTCTGTTCTAAAGGAACTGCATGTATGTGGATGTATTATGCATGAATAGTTAGCATAATGTATGCATATATCTTGCTCTTCAAAGTGGTTTCTTTGAAAAAAAAATGTTTTTAATAAAATGCTTTGGGACCTTCACCTCTGAAATTTACACAAGAGGAAGAAATTTTAACAATAGACAACTGAACCCAAGATGCACAGAGTATCATATATCTTGCTTCTTGAAACATAAGACTTGGAAAACATCTGCCTCATTCCCTTTTATTCATTGTTCCTGGCAAGCTGACTGAACAGCCTAATGTACTGTTACAGTAGCTCACCCAAATGACTTCTAATCAGCCACTTCAATATTTTTTTCAATTCAAAACTCAATCTCGGGACATACTACTAAACATAAATACTTGCTGCTTAAAGGAAGACATTCTTCTCTGACACAAATGTCCTTCTTGCCATGTACATTTTGCCCACTTCCCCACTACCCTGAGTAATGTGAAAACTATTCCATTAACAGCTCAAGCGGCTTTGCCCCCCGTACAGGAGAAGAAAAAGCCAATTATGACAAAGATCCTGAATGAATCATAAGAAATGCCCTTCAATTGTAGAAGCATGACTAACATATGAATATAGTGATTGCTGCAAAAAGCAACCTAAAACATTTTATTTGGTTCATTTCAGAGTAGACCCCTATTTCACATAATCTATGTGAAACCTATGGACGGGGAATTGATGTCAGTGATAGGCTTTTCTACTTTTAAACAAACTGTTGGTAATGCGAAAGTAGATTCAAACTTCACAAAAAAAATAGAGTAGTACTCTTTGAGCTCTATTTACCTTGGAATTGGATAAAAAAAAACAATATCTCAAATTTTAACATTTTAATCCAATGTATACCACTTAGGTCCTAGGTAATATTTTTTAGAATAACAAGTTTAGATGGATAAGATGTCTTAAGTGTCTAAGAAATAAACAGACGTTTTATTATAAATAAGCAAACAACTATGCTTTGAGAAAGTTAGAAAAGTCTTGGGGAAAAATAAATACATTTAAGCCAAACAATAAGGGCTAATAAGTTTGTCACATGCAATGAGCAGGAACCTTGTGTTTCTGTCCTTTCCCATATCCCACTCCATCCCAACTCTAGGAACTCATTGACAAACAGCATAATTTAGCACAGTGATTTACCAACTTTCTGGTCCCCCAATGCAATGCTTTTACTCAAGTATGGCCTTCATATTCTTTTCTTTATACTCAGCGTACTCCCAAAGCATTCAACAAAATGCTTCCCTATAAAAAAAGCTTTCCTTATAAACTCAAACTGAATCTGACTCTAATATTTAAGACATTGATAAAACCGCACAATGATCCAGATAACATTTTCCTTTAAAAAGAAGATTTTAAAGGGGATGTGTGTGTGTTTGTGTGTGTGTGTACTCAAAGGAAGTACATACAAGGGTTAAATCATTTGAATTGTATGTGGCTGACCCAGACTTAATTCCTGGTATTGCATAGCCCCCCAGCACTGCCAGGAGCACCCCCCAAGTACAGAGCCAGGCGTAGTCCCGGGGCACCACGAGGTGTGAACCTAAAGCCACCCTCCAAAAATCTATATGCAAATACAAACATGTGTGACATTTTCTGATGTGAGCTTTGTTTGATCACTTTTACTTTTCAAAAAAATTAAAATAGACACAGAGTAAAAACAAATATTCCAGAAAATAACTGAGCCTGTTCATTTGCTGTGGGAAATTCATGAGTGAACAACACCCCCAAAAAATGAAGAATAAAACCAGGATAGTTGTAGAAGAGTAAATGAGTTTGTGTGATGTTCTTTGGCTTCAAAGGAGCATTTATATTCAAAGAGCATTTATATCCAGTTTGAACCTAGACCGTCATGATCTGTGGAACCTTAGGAAACTCATGAAGTCCTGCGGTCTTATTCTTGTGAAATGGAGCTCAGGAACGCTGGATGAGGTAGATACGTGGATTTTGGAGAGCTGCAACTCTGTTTGCAAGAACTTCATTATCCTACTGGTCTCAACAGAGGAGACCCCACACAGGACATTCAAAAGATATCTAACCCATGGGGGTCTCGCCCACTGTGCCTTTCCCTTGACAAGATTCATGACTTAATCCCAAGATAGTCAGACATCATGTGGACATGCAAATGGGCCAAGTGACTTACAATTTATTTTCTGGCTCCTTCCCATTCATGAAATTTCCCCACGTCAATTTAACGATGGCAAAAGGAGTCATGCTTTCTATTCTTATCCTTGACTAATATTGCTGAACTCTGTTTGGGGGTCACAAGGGAAAGACAACGATGTGTATTTGCTGATGTGTATTTGTATTTCTGTAGACCGAACAAAGCTCACCCAGCCAGGCACAAGAAAGAGCTCTGCCAGGGAAAATGGTGTTCTGCATTTACCACCTCCGAACTAAAGCTGCTTTTACTCATTCTATGCTATATAAAAGGCTTTTATTATATGCTTCCCTTCTTTGTAATACAGCCCCCCCTTTTGGGGGAAAAATCTGCAGTAATAAGCCTGCTAGTCTTTTTAACAGAAGATAAACAGAGTGCGCTGAACTTAAAACCACTCCACTTCGCTTTCCCCGACCAAAACAGCATTCCATATTGCTTTCATTTTTCCCCTTTCCATTTCTGTTAATAGTTATTTTTTAAGGAATTATGACAGAAGCAGGTCAATAATGTATACAGATGTTACAAAAGTATTAGGCCATACTCGGTGCAGAGAAACAAGTAAATGGTTAATGGGCTAAGGTAATTTACAATTCTTCTTTTCTCAAATGCATTTTACCTATAATTCAACTTGTATACCAAATGGCTCACTTAAACCTTCACCACAGAAAGTTAAGCAGCCATTATCACTAACAAGGGATGTTTCTAAAATATCTACTTGCTAAATCTACATGTAAATAAGATTAAAAGGACAAGAGAAAACCAAAAATGTCTACATTTCTTCCTCTTACATCATTCAGGGGTTTTTCGTTTGGGGGTGGTGGGGTGAGGAGGTGGTCATACCCAGCAATGCTCAGGGCTTACTCCTGGCGCTGCACTCAGGGATCACTTCTAGTGGTGCTGGGGTTCCATATGGGGTGCCGGGGATGAAACCCAGGTCGGCCATGTGCAAAGCAAATGCACTATCCACTGTGCTATGATTCTGACGCCCTATTCCTACTTTCATATTTTCTTCCGTCTTTTTCATAGTACATACTTGCCTGAATTTTCTCCTATATTCTAGATTAAGTGAAAGGGTCCTCTTGAATTGAATTGAATTGAATCTTTCCACTTTGTCTTGCTCTTTTCCTTCTGGATCAAGAGCAGCTATGAGAGAATCTCAATGGACCAGTAACTTCTTGACTCCTCCAAGAACTGGCAGATGCTTCTATATCTTAGGGGAAGAGGTTCAAACTATCTGTTCTGAATCACTCAGTAGGTTTGCTTTGATATTTTGGGGCATCAGGGATCCAGGATCAAAGTACAATCTTCCTACCTGTTGGGATCCTCAGGAAAGCTCAATTTTTTTATTATGGTATTAGACTTAGAAAATCTTCTCAAGCTCATTTTGGTAAGCATCTAGTCATATGATAGAAGGTGGTGGTAATATTGTCACAGTACCAGCCATTTTCTATCATGAATATTTCCATCACTTCTATCCACTATTTTCTGAATCATCCAATGAGAAAAATAAATGTAAAATTTCACCAAACAGCAAAAATTTGTTGACAATCAAAGGGGCATTAAAACTGGGTACAAAAACCAATAATATAAAATACCATAGTTTACTTTAAACTATAGTAGGTACTGGTATTATTGCCAAGAAAACTAGAGACTTATTGGTGGTAAAATCATTAAATCATTAAATTTTTTTAAAAGAAGAAGTTAGATGACTCCAAACAGCCATAAATAAATAATGCCCCAAGTACATCACAAGCTTTATACATATTTAGCTCACTGCCAACTTTTATTACATTCCTTACTATAAAATTTTTAATAAAATTTTATAATTAAAAAAATGGTTACCATCTTCATTGGTAATCATGAAAGCTCTCTTTAGTAATTGGTAATCATGAAAATATGAAAGTGTATGTTTTGGTGTATCAAACAAATACATTTCTAAAAGTAAATTTAGTTTACATATAAAACCCATAATGGACTTCTCTCTATAATTTTTTCACTTTCTATTCAGTCCCCAACACCTTTCTTTAACCTCCCTCTTCCCTCCCATTGCCCCCCACCCCAAATTTGGAGGAACAAAATATACAACACAGATCTTACTTGAAAATTTTCACAGACAAAATGGGGACATAGTTTGCAAAGGTAAGCAGAAATCAAGTATTTAACATTTAAAAAAAAATCAGAACACTGAAAAATAGTCACGAGGCTTCCCATCTCATAGTAGATATTTTTCAACACCCAGTAAATTATCAGAGATGCAAAGGGTTTATGAAAGCATTTGGGCTAAACAACAATGAATAACTCCAAAAATTCTCTCCAGAATCTCAATATATCTAAGTTCCAAAGATGAAAACATCTCAGGCCTTCGATTCCATCACCAAAATCCCACATCTAACTGTTGAGGGGGGAAATACAATTCTTGGGGGCTTGAGTCGCTGGGCCTGGTGCTTGCTGCACATTTAGCCATGCAGTTAATCTCGGAGAGCAGCGCCCACCGGGGCATGCCTGCTATTCTCTACCATCTGGAGCCTGGAGTTGATATTAGCTTGAACCACACAAGCAGGAGAAAAAAAGAAGGGGGAAAGAAAAAAAAACCCTCTCATTCGCATTTAACCGAAATTGGTGGCAGAACAATGCAACATGCAGTTCAGGCTTTTTAAAAAAGGGTAAAGTACAAACCGTCTCCTTTGTTTTCTGGTTCTCCGCTCTAAGGTCTTCATATTCACCGATTGCTAAAAGGGGAGAAAAAAAAGAAAAAGAAAAGAAAACAAAATTATCACACTATCCCAAGTTTACTAAAGGAAAACCTAAGAATCCAACTAATTCCCATTGACTACGACTAGCTAGGATGGGGGTGGGGTAGACAGGAGGCCGCAGGCAGAACTTCTGCTTTTAAGAAGAAAAAGAGACCAAAGCAGATGTGAGCCCACCAAGGTGAATTTCGGTTCTCCCTAGGTCGGGAGGGCGGAAGATGGATGATCCACAGGTGACCAGGACAAGGCACGTATTTCTCTTTGATATTGTGAAAGGAGGTGGGGAGGTGGGGAGAAGTGTTGTAAGTTTTTTTTTAATTTTCATGTTAGAAAAGCCTTCAGAAACTAAAGTAAACTTACACATTCCACTCCATGTCACAAGATTGCCTATTCGCACAGCAAAAAGTTTCAGCACTGCGCATTCCATTTAGGGCTAACTTGGGGGGCACTGTACAATCACACAGCTATAACAGATAACAGTCTGATTTATTTCATTAGCTTGGCAAAAGGCGTGAACTCTTTTCAAATATTGAGCATAGGACTTAAAACCCTTTATTATAGGGAAAAAATACAGTAACCACCTGCATATCCACACTTAATCTTTTCACCAAGGAACCATTTGAAGATATCCTCCCAGTTAAGAATACAATGTTTGGAAAGAGAAAGAGAGAGAGAGAAAGAGAGGGGGGGGGGGGAAGAAAGGAAGGAAGAAGAGAAAAAGAAAGGGAGAGAAAGATAGGAAGAAAGAGGAAATAATCTAAAATTAATGATAAACAGTAACTAAGGTGGGCCTCACAGAACTGTGCTCACACACAGACCAACAGCTCAACTAGTACCTAAGATCCAGGGAATACTTAGACTGTGTTTTTATACTTTTATTGAAAAGAACTGAAATGAGACTAATCTACAAAGCACTTAGTTTTTCTTTTAAAAAAAAACAACTTATTTCTAAGGATAATCCCAAAATAGAAGTTAAAAAAAATCTGAAACCATGACTTTTTGGAAACCCCAGATACTCTGTTTATTAATTTAAAAGTATTCTAAATTGATGTTCTAATCTCTGGTGCAGAAACTGCTTCCAAAAAAAAAAAAAAGACAATTTACAGGGTAAAGTCCATGCTTTGTTTCTTCTCATAAAAATCCTAGGGCTCTGGAATAATTATTGCAATGATGAGATCAAAAACTCAAAATGCAATTCACCTTAAAACAACTTTATTAAAGGGTCAGAAAAATAGTACAAGAGTGATTGCACTAGCCTTGGTTCAGTGCCCTGCACTGCATACAGTCCCCTGCCAACAAAACCAGTAATCCCTGAGCAACGCCAGGTATGGCCCTAACCCACTTGCCCCAATTTCTGGATAAAAGCTACACTAGCTTGTAACAGTATAAAAACAAGTTCCAGGGGCTGGAGCGATAGCACAGCGGGTAGGGCGTTTGCCTTGCACACGGCCAACCCGGGTTCGATTCCCAGCATCCCATATGGTCCCCTGAGCACCGCCAGGAGTAACTCCTGAGTGTAGAGCCAGGAGTAACCCCTGTGCATTGCCAGGTGTGACCCAAAAAGCAAAAACAAACAAACAAACAAACAAAAAAAACAAGTTCCAGGTATACAGCATTAGAAGCATCTACTGTCCACAACCATATGTTTGCCTTCAAGGTCTCCTTGCCATGTTTCCTCATACGATTCATCTTTCCAATCTGCTATTCCTATCCCAATTTACCCTCTTTCTTCTAATAACCAGCATCTTGTTTTTAGAATCCAAGAATTTTGTTTGTTTGTTTGTTTTGCATTTCTTCCACATGAGTGAAATCACATAATGGTTGTCTTTTCAAATCTGATTTATTTCAGTTAGCATATGACCCTCTAGATCCGCCCATGTTGTTGTTAATAGCAAGATTTCATCTTTTTTATAAATGAGCAATAGCCGGAGCGATAGCACAGCGGGTAATGCATTTGCCTTGCAAGCGGCCAATATGAACGTCCCGAGTTCGATTCCTCCACCCCTCTCGGAGAGCCCGGCAAGCTATAGAGAGTATCTTGCCCGCACGGCAGGGCCTGGCAAGCTACCCGTGACGTATTGGATATGCCAAACACAGTAACAACAAGTCTCATGATGGAGACATTACTGGGCCTGCTCAAGCAAAATCGATGAATAACGGGAGGACCGTGACCGTGATTCCCTTGTAAATATTCACCTCTAGTTATATGCAGATGGGCACTTAGGTTGCTTTCCAATTCCTGGCTATCGTGTATAAGGCTAGACAAACACAGGGGTACATATACCTGTGAAAATCCATAACTTAGTATTCTTCTAATACATCACAAATTCAAATAAACAAATATTTATTGGATTTTACCATGCCCAGAAGCTTTATTAGCACTCATGAACATCTCAATAAAAATAAACAATTGTATTGAAGCCATCCCCCACAAAATTAGACAACCCACAAGATAGCTGAGTATATATATGCAAAGATACAGCTTTTCAAAAATAATTACTTTTTTGGTCTGTTTTTGCTTTGGAGGGCTACACCCAGGGGGTGCTCAGGGCTGACTCTGCACTCAGGGATCACTCCTGGCAGTGGTCAAGAGACTATGTGGGATGAATGTAAGGCAAACATCCTTCCTGCTATACTCTCACTCTGGCCCGTAAAAATCATCATATTTTTGGACGGGAGAAATAGCTCAATAGGTTGGAATGGGTACAGGCGGCCTAGGTCCATCTCCGTCTCTCTTGACTGAACACTGAACAAAACCCTTTGCATACTAGTTCTACCACCATATATATACTCCAACCAGTGAGTAAAAATCAAATTGTCCTTGGTTCTAAAATAATAATAAAAGGATTCCATTCTTTTTTAACAGAAAGAAACAAGAGCTAAGAGATCTGAAAAATATGCATTGGGACAAGGAAATAACTCCAAAGCATGTATGAGGCCCTGGGATCAATTCCTGTCACAAAAACAAACTATATGCATATGTATGTGTGTGTGCATGTGTGTATACATATGTGTGTATATATATATGTGTGTGTATCTATATACATATTTTATACATATACACAAACACATATAAACATTTAGCCATTAGGTTATCTATGGTCATTATCACAAATCTTACTATTTTTTAAATATTATTTTGAAACATAACATTACTGTGAGACTAAAATTTAGTTTAACTTAACATTTTAAATTACCAGTAGATGAAACTGGAAAATCAAAAATCGAAATAGACTTGCGACTCTATTCTTTATGACTTACTTTACAAATATACAAAGCAAACAATATATTTTTCTATTTAGAACCCTGGATAATGGCTGTGAAGGCTTTTTAAAAATGCTATACTATTCTTCATTATATTGCCAATAGACTTCAGATGAAACAATGCAGACTTCCAATTACTGAGTCTTTATGAAAAGCATTAATTAAGAACCTTTTACCTATCAGATCTTAATGGAAAGCACGGAAAATAGGTCTTGTAACTGTGTGCAACTTTTAAAAAATAATAAAAGGCAGGAACAGGGGCAGGAGAGGAAAACTATAGGAAGAATTCAACCATCTGGCATCAGGAAGGAAGCACTAGGAGAATAAAGTATAAAAGAAAACGTTTAGGGGGCAGGAGAGGTCGTGCAGTGGTCAGGACACTTGTTTACATGTGGCTGACCCAGGTTTAATTCCCAGCACCCAATACGGTCCGCCACGCACAGCCAAGAGTGACCCCTGAGCACAGACTCAGTAGTCAGCCTGAGCACTGTCAGATGTGGCCCACCCCCTCCCCAAAAACATTTTTTTAAAGATAAAATGTTTACTTATGTTTTATTTCTTTAAAGTTAAAAAAAAAACCTCAAGCTCACTGCCCTAACAATATTTATACACCACACCCACACACACACATATACATATCAAGATAGATACAGGTAACCTCAATCTGTTTTATAATTTCTGAATTTTTTAATTAAAAATATTTTTATTGAATCATCATGAGATACACAGTTACAAAGCAGTTACAAACTTGTTCATGATTGAGTTTCTGTCAAACAATGTTCCAGAACTCATCCCTTCACCAACGCACATTGCTGCCACCAATGTCCTCAGTTTCCCTCCCGCCTACCTCACCCCGCCCCCCCAAAGCCTGCCCCTATGGCAGTGTCTCTCTCTCTCTCTCTCTCTCTCTCTCTTTCTCTCTCTCTCTCTCTCTCTCTCTCTCTCTCTCTCTTTCTCTCTCTCTCTCATTTTCCTTATAGGCACTGTGGTTTGCGATGTTGTTACTCAAAGTGTATTATTCATATCACTTTACTCCTTTCAGTACTCAGTTCTTGTCCAGTGTGATAATTTCCAACTAAGACTGTCATAGTGTCCCTTCTCTGTCCTAACCGCACTCCCCCTTCCACTTTGTGCCAAACTTCATTGTATCACTGTCCTCCCGTTGTTCATCGATTTGCTCGAGTGGGCCCAGTAATGTCTCCATTTTGAGACCTGTTGTTACTGTGTTTGGCATATTGAATACATCACGGATAGCTTGCCAGGCTTTGCCGTGGGGGCAAGATACTCTCAGTAGCTTCCCGGGCTCTCTGAGAGGGGCGGAGGAATCAAACCCGGGTCAGCTGTGTTGGCTGCTTGCAAGGCAAACGCCCTACTGCTGTGCAATCACTCCAGCCCAAGCTTCAATCTTGGCAAAATTCACAAAACCTGAAGTGACTTCATCTTATTGTTTCAGAAATGATGCACAGTTTGAAAAAGAAATCCTCCAAAACTTTATTCAACTAATATAAAAGAACCTAGGTGTTGACCAGTTTTCTTTCATCTGAAAGGATGGAATTATTTCTCTTGAATTTACAGATAAAGCAGATCTTACTGTGTTATAAGATTGCATGAAACAACAACTAAAAAGTATAGCCTAATGCCAGAACACTTATTAGCCAGAGGATCTCAGGCAAGTTATTTAATCTCTCTGAGCCTCTTCCTTCTCACCTAGAAAA